ACAGACAGACAGGCAGACAGACACACATACACACACACAGACAGACAGACATGCAGACAGACAGACAGACAGACAGACAGACAGACACACAGACAGACAGACAGAATCATAAACATGCATTTATTTGGCCCTTTGTGTGCATGTGAGTTTGGTGACGGTAAAAAGCCTTATCCTCCATTAATAACAGCTACTAATCCCCTGATGTGATTACCTCTCCCTCTCTCTCCCCCCTCTATGCAACCCAGCCCCCCCGCCCCCCCCCCCACACACACACTAACCTTCTATACTATTTGCTCCCATTGAGCAGCGCCAGCCACTTGTCTTCCATGACAGAACTCAGCTTGTCCAAAGCCCTGAACACATCTGAGACTTCCACTGTGTTCTGCTGCCAGGATGACGGAGGTCCTCCAATTTGACGCCTCTCCTTACTAAAACTTGCCTCTGGGCAGGGGTCTAAAAAAAGCAAAAGTCAGTAGTATTAGCAGAGAGAAGACAACAAATTAAAGCAGATTAAGACCCATGCATCTGTTCAAAGCTCTGACACTTTAATGCTGCCTGAATAAGAGGTGACGTGTGATATGAATCGTACAAGATGGGCTTTTGGATGTTCAAACGTTTATGGAAATATCTGCAAGCATAAAGGATTATGGGTGTGCAAAGAGAAGCAACAAGCATGTCAGTATAGCTATTTCTGTCCTCAATGACTGGCTGCCAAATGCAATCTTTTTTCCATCCTTTGATGAACTCACTGCATCAACCTAAAGTCTAGTGTGTTTCTATGGAAACTTAGACCTCCTAGAAGGTTGAAATTTGCCACTTTGCACAGAATCTGCTCAATAGTAACATGCTATGATCAGTATTTAAATTGTTCCAGCCTATATCTGCGAACTTTTCAAAAGAAAATAAGCAGGAAATAGGACGAGTACTAAATGTTTTACACGTTTGCTTGTTGTGTATGGAAAGATTTTGAAACTATGCCTTACAAAGACCTTCAAAGACTTTCCACTCACTTGTTTATGTGTTCAATAGTTTATTTGATTTAGCCTTTTTTTTTGTTATTTCACTTAACATTTTATCGTGTTAGAACTTTGAAAGAATAAGCAGGCATGCAAACCACTCTTTTCTCGCATCACTCACCCATTTCCTCACATAATGAAATATTATGTTCACAACTGATGATGAACAAGAAAAGAGTGACAACACACACAGACAGGAGAGAGCAGCTCTGCGATGTGAGAAGATTTTTAGACCAATCTGAGGAAAAGTGTGAACTATCCCCTGTAAATATCCACTGTTAAATTAATTTACTGTCAGCAGCATTGTCTGATTTGTGTTGCATGGTTAAGTTATCAAAACCGCTCCTTCTTTTATAAATATTCAAGTGGGTTTTGTTAGTATTTTCACGGTTATTTAAAGATTGACTTTTATTGACTCTTAAAGATTGCATTCTGTATATATTACGGTACACACTTGTGCTCAAATACGAACACACGCATGCACGCACGCACGCAGACACAGACACTCACACAAACACACACACACACACACAGGTTGCTAGGTCTGAAGTTATAGTGCAGTACAACACTGTACTTGGTTTACTTGGTCTACCTGGTGGTATCTCCATGGCAACTGTTATGTCTGACCTTCAGACAATTGCTCCGCCTTCCATCTGGGTGAGTCTGACGAATCAGATTTCTTATGTATGCACACAAATGCACCATCCAATCATTTTTAACTAATTTGATTTACGATCAGTAACGGGCTGCTTTGTAGTGTTGTGATGAACACTGTCTCCCTCAAAGCAACAAAAAACAAAACTCCAGGTCTGAAACCCTGTTAGGGCCTTCCTGTGTGGAGCTTACATTTCCTCACCATGTCTGAGTGGGCTCTCTGGTAGTAGTGTAGGCTTCAAACACAAAATAAAACTATGCATGCTGAATTAAGTGGTGACTCTAAATTGACCCCAGCAATAAGTGTGAACATTATTGTGTACAGTATATGGTCCAGGTCACAGGATAATATTAGTATTCCCGTTACTGCAATCTGATGAAGTCGATAAAGAAAATGAATTGACTAATAGTTACTCATCACTCCATATTTTTAAACAGCTCTTGTATTTTTATTCATTTTCATCCAGCTCAAGAGAAACATTTGGCCCTGATTTCAGATGTGCTACTTTGCCTTGTTTTCATCTCCACACTGACAGGCATGTTATACCTCTTACAAGATGAAAAGTTCCCTTTGAGCTGCTATATTTTGCAAGGGAATCAAATCAAGACTTGAATCAATTAGTGGCTCTTTCATCAGGTCGTGCTTGGGTTCTCTTTTTTCCTTCCTCAACTCCCTTCTCCTTTTTTTTCAGTCCTGTTCAATACTCTCCTCTGCTCTGTTCTTCTCAACTTCACAAGGCGCTTCAGAAGGGCCCAACATCTGGCTGCTTCTCAGGCCCAGGGCCATGCATCCGTTCAGGGGCAGCAAGGCCTGCAGATCGGCCCCTCCTGCTGAGCTCAGGCTTTGGTGTATGTGGTGCCATTCACAGACTGCATTTCCCGAATGTTAGTGCCTTGATGTGGCCAGAACCACAGTGCATGATTTATTACAGTACTCTGTCCCCACTGCTGGTATCGCTGTTATTATTACCATGTATTTCCTCCTCAGTCCTCTTCCCACCTGCAGTTTCAAGCTCAAGCCTTTAGCAGACACAGCTGACACAGATCTGGACAGCTTCTGTGAGAAGTGCTCAACTGCTTCCTTACTGGATGTTTGGTCATAGATGTTTGAATAGGACTGGTGACACTTTAAGAATTAGGGCGCAAAACGGTTGGAGCAATGACAAGCATTGTAAATCGACAGCAGCTCAGATGAATAACCTATCTCCATTTGCATGTCCTGCATTGTGTATTGACTTGTGATTTAATGCTTTGTGAGGGTAGCTTGTGGCAGCCATGGCCTAAGGAGAGCAAATGGGGTGGGGGTTGAGGTGGCAGGGGGGTTAATTGGTTTTTGGCTGTGTGGCCAATCAAAGAGACCTCATCAAAGTCATCCAACCGGTGCTTCCCACAACCTTCCTTCCTGCTTTTCCTCTGTTTATGTAACTGCCACACAATGTAATCAGAAAGAAAGAGGATGAAGGAAAGAGAAGAGGAATGAGATGTTTGATATGGAGAAAAAGAACCAGGAGATCATGTGAGCAAACCCAGCATGGGGAACCAGAGCAAAGGAAGACCATGGTGGTGGACAGCAGAGGCAAAGGGTCCAAACATGTGAGGAAGCTTAGATGGAAGGGATGTGGTGGAGCTGTGTTTACAGACACTGGTCACCCAGTGTACGCTGACTCTATGTGTTGGTAGCTTTTAGTTTGTGATGGGTTACCACAGCAAACCAACAACCAAGCAATATTTACATCAAGGTGGACAATTAATCTTTTCTCAGGAAGTATAACACTTCAGTTTGTCAAGTTAGAAACAACAGTTCAATCAGTGGTTTTTTTCTAGTGGGCTTTTTTGGGAGACATACACAAGTTGATTTTTTAAAGATCAACTCGTTTATACATCTATTCATACACAAATAAACATTCCTACTATTCTTTGTGGTCTCTATTGAAACAAGTAACTTATTTATTCCCCCTGTGACCCCCCATTAATGAGAGATTCCCTTACAGGCAGCTGGCTCAAAACTCCACAGAGGTATCAGATCTCCTACTCTTCCTCCTCTCCTTAATTAGGACAATTAAGAAATTTACAGGACAGATGGATGGAAATCCAGCTGGCTGCAGAGTGCCCAGAGGACTGGAGAAATCTCTATTAGCTGAGGAGAATCACATAAATTGAGTGGTGGGACTCTGGTGCCCTCACGTGGTTATTAGTGGTAAATGGTACAAAGTTACTAGTAGATGGTGACGATAGCAAGGATGATGACACTATTTTAGTCATTAAGTCTTGTTTATATTCAATATTTGACCTTGCGAGATAGACTAATCTAATAAAGAGTGCGGCCATATTTAAACAACAAAACCACTGGATTGATTCTAAGTCATTCTTTATTAAAGTAGAGTAAAGATTAAGTTTTTGAGATGATAAAGAATGCACAAAGTTGTTTCCCATCCCTCTTTCCCTGTGCCTGGCACCTAAGAATGTGTTTTCTTTGTGGATGTTTTGGACTTAAAGGGGGGAAAGTGGGGGGGGGGATAAATAAATGAAACCAGAAAAATGTTCTCCCGTTCACTTTTCTGGATTGTGTGGTTTATACCAACAGTCCAAAGACAATAAATCAATCCTCAATGAGTTTAAATTGTTTGCTTAAATGTCCAAATTTTCAAATCTGTATTTTATTCTATTTAAATCAACATTTGATTGATCAAATGTACAGAAGCCTGTCACATTAGAAAGATTCATGTTTTTAACTTAGATAAAAATTAAACATGAACTGCACATCACCAAACAGTCACTTAACTCAAGCAGAGAAGCATTTGTCGACTCCACATGGACCACATGGTCTCCAGCAGCAAGCTGTTTAACTGTCTGGCTTACCAAGAAACACAAGTGTGATTCAGAAGTAAAAATCTCACTTCTTCTTGTTCCATTTTAGAACTGAAACAGGCAAACGTGATAGCTTTGTTCAAAAGTTTTCAGTGAATTCAGTGAATTCCCTTTTTTAAGGCATCAGAAAAACATTGGATGAACACTGTTCTGTACCTCAGTGAAGGAAATGACTAGTACTACCCCTGCTGGAATTCTCAGGTATCACCATGTGAATGAGAACTGTACCAGCTTTTTGTTCTCTTTACAGACACAACTAAACACACAACTGAACAAAAGTATTAATATAAACTGCTACCACCTTTTTATATTTCTTCCAGATGAAGGATGTCATAATGCAAATGTTTATTTGTTTCCAAACTGGTTTTGTGTGGATGTGCTGTAAAACATAATAATTTTAGATTATGTGAAGTTATGTAAAACAACATTTAGAACATTTAAAGAACAAAGCATTGGAAACAGATTTTATTTGTTAATTAATAGAAACATATGTTTGAATTTTATAGATCAGTTCCAATAGTTGGACTTAATTTTCTACTGACTTAAAATCATTTAAAATGTGAGTCAAATAGGTTGAGAAACACTGATTTACAATGATTAACTACACATAACTACACATATTTAAGTAACAAACCAACAAGTTTGCTTATTTATGTCATTTGAGGCAACATCTGACACAAATTGCACTGTTAGAGTGATACATGTATCACTCTGACAAAGCATTCTCAGCTCCTTTCCAGAAGTGGAAAATTTACACGCAACACTTTACATTAGAAAAAACAAGAACAAACAAACTTTGACTTTTTGGTTTTGGAACAACTGCTTTTTGTCATTCTTTCTGGATTGATGCAGAATACCTCAGTTTTACAATTCTTCCAGCGTCTCAGAGCCTTTGTAAAGTATGGTTCCATTGGTCAGCCACCTGTAGATGTGTAGTAGATGTGCTTAGTATAGCTGAAGCCATGGAAATGGCTTATTGAAATAAATGAATAAATGGAGAAAAACACTCACATGATCAGACTGCCTCTTTTCTGTTTCATACCTGTTTAAAGAGAGTGAAAGGATCAAAACCTAGCACAAGAATTTAGCTGTGTTCATGTGAAATATCGCTATATCCCTATAACGCTATAGGGAACACTGACGTTTAATCTGCCAGGCGGTTACAGCTACACCGATCAGAACCACCAGCACCACCGGCACAATGACAGCTGCTAAGTTTGTTCCCAGACTGTCCTCAGCGACCATCTAACAGACAGAAAAAATGTGTAGTTAAATATCGACATTAATTCATACAAATATATGCTTTGGCAAGTATAATATTATGTAATATCCCAACTCTTGATAAGAAGCAGTCCCTTGCTGGATACTCACAGTAGCCGGAGTACCATCTGATATAGTGGGAATGAGTCTGTCCCTGGAATGACCTGACACCAGTATGAAAAATCACAATTGAGGAACTTGTTAAAGTCTATTTCCTGCAGAACTGCTGAACAAGCTAGTATAACACATTTAAAATTTAATTACATGAAAAGCTGTTTCTGTATTTTGGTCAAAATGTTTCCCATCAGTGTTTTTCAGATAAACTGCTAGTGATGGTGAGGTTAAACCATTTGCCAGTGGTGAACTAGGGTACTCTGGAAACACTTATTTAAAACTCTGTTCTGCCTGGTGAGAAACAAACAACAAGGATGATGGATAAGAAAGCAGCACCTGCTTCTCCTGTGGTGACTGTGAGGACATTGCTGGCAGTGCTGCTGCCCCCATAGTTCTTTGCAAACATGCGCATGTTGTAGGTGGAAGGATTCATTTCGACTATTGTGGCCTCTCTCTGGCTGGGGCTGTAGTCTACCACATTCGTTGTATAATCCCATGAAGCTTTGATGAAAAAACAAATGAATTGTCATGAAAAAAGTGAAAAGGAAAAACAATATGTTACTACACTGGAGTTTTTTTTTTACCATTGGCTGCTTTATATTCCAAGAGGTAGCTTGTGATGGAGCTTTCTCCTTCAAATCCAGGTGTCCAGGAAAAAGAAATGATGTTGTCTTTCACCTCCTTCAGCTTAAGCACTGGTGGATCAGGGGGCACTGAGAGGGAAGTGGCATTAATGGTGCTCTGGTGTCTTGGATATAATTTCTACAGTAAATATTGATATTGATTATATATATTATATATTGATAGCAGAATTCTGTCAGTGAAAATCATCACCATTCTCTCAACTCAATTCAAGTCAATTTTCCAGTCAGAGAATTTGTAGAGTGACCAAAATTTAAACTCTGCATGTGAAACCCCAAAAAATACCTGATGTGTAACTTGTGGTGGTCATTTCCCAGACTATAGATGCAGACGACGTGGTCTCAGCTGTAGCTGGGAGAACTTCAAGAGGAGCGGAAAAATCATTCAAGCCCACATAAATTCCTTATTTAATCTATTGTTTACAATAAAAATAATCAGCAAGCACGTCAACAAATCAAACCTGATGTGACACTAGTCTCTTGTATCCAAACTGTAGCAGCGATGGAAGAAGACGTTGTCGTTTCTTGAACTTCAGAAAAAATATATCAAACTGTTATAGAATTTAATTAGATTTTTAAAATAGTTTTACATTTCCTAACTTACCCTCATCCAGAGTGGAGCAGAGGGGTGCGGTTGAGGCAGGTGACACTCCGGCATTTGTTGTTGCTTTTATGAGCACGGCGTACTTGGTGGAAGGCTTCAAGTTTTTAAGGATGGCGCTCTCAAGCTGCCGAGTGGCGGTCACAGTGAGGCGCATCCACTGTTTACTCAGGTCACCCCCTGACTTGTACTCTTTGTAATCTACTATGTAACTCTTAATAACTCCATTTCTGAGATCTGGCTTTGGAGGCTAGACAAGAAGAAAAAAAAAAAACCCAGTAGATAAAAAAATATATATAGTACACAATATCCAGACATGCATATAATGGATTAGTGAGTATCGAATCTGTCAAAAAAGTTTAGCAATTCTGATCTCACCTTCCAAGTTACTTTGATACTGCGAGAACTGATGGCCTCAAGCGTCATATCCAGTGGGGGGCCGTCTGGGGCTGCAGAGAAATTAAGCTTACTGGTTCTCTCTTACAACATGTGAGATTCTTCAGAGATCATTCGAATACAATGTTGATAAAGACGTTTAGCCTGGATCTACCTGCTTCTTTTGTATTGAGGGTCAGAACGTTACTGCCTCCGCTAATTCCCACACTGTTGAGAGCAAACATTTTAATGTTGTAGGCCGTGGCTGGACGCAAGTCCATCAAAGTCACCTGAGTCAGCTGAGGTTGTGATAGTTCAGTTCTTAGGGCTGAATCCCAGGATTCTGTGCAAAGTGAACACATTCATCAGATCCAAACTGCCCCCTTTAGAAGGACTATCTCAGACCACAAGAAAACTAATTACTGTCCAAATTATTTGAGCAGGACAAGATTTGTTTATATGTGCTTACCATGTTTGTTTTTCAGAAGGATTATGAAGTCTGTAATGGGCCTGCCTCCATCAAAGGAAGGAGTCCAGCTAACAGTAACAGTCCTTTGGGTCACTTCTGTTGTCTGTACACTCAGGGGATAGGGGCTCCCTAAGGAGACCGGAAAACAGAGCTATGCTGTGCTGAAATGGGTGGTGGGTTTATATGTTAACAAAAAAAACGGCACAAAAAAAGCAAACGTGGACAAACGTGGTGATTTCAGTTGACTGAATGTGAGATTAGCTTCAGACATAATAACATACATAATAAACATACCTGCGTTTACAGTCAGAGTCATCTCGTGTTTCTGATCATTGAACCAGCCCGGTATGTCAACACGACAGCCGTACACGCCACTGTCCTTTTCCTGAACCTGCTTGATGGTTAGTGACACATCACCCTCTCCAAGATTTCCCAAAAGCAGATAACGCTCTGACAACCTGCTGACCACCGATGTCCCATCGGTCCTCATCACCTCACTGGCACAGCCACTGTTGGGTATTGCCCCTCGGCCCCAGCACACAGACAGCCTGCCGTAGGATTTAGCGTCATAGTTGCATCTTAAAGTTACGTCTGCTCCCACTGTGGCTATTACATGGTTCCCAGACGCGAAACCTGGACAGACAGTGAAAGAATTTAGGGGAAATCATTCATTCATTGTAATTAACCCAGAAATGGCTGGCTTACCTTGTAGTAGACAAAAGAGAAGACTGCTGGCTAAAGCACTACGTCTGCTGTTTAAAATACTCATTTCACAACTCACGTTGGTGGACCAGTGGAAGTGCTTCACCTGCTGACAGCAAACTGACCGCACTGTGGTTTGTGCTCTGAAATCTTTCCAAATCACATGATGCTGTCCTTGATGTGCTCACACAAACAACTTCGAGTGGCAGAAGAGGAATGTAAAAAGCGCCATTTCCTTTTCTTCGGTTTTGGTTCCTTTTTCAGAAAACTGCTTCATTTTAATGATACAGAAGAATCTGGGTCCTCAACAGTTAATTTTGTAGCTCATTCTCAGCATTCTTGTCCTTTTCTTACCTCGACTTTGGGGTTATGAGACTGCCATAGCTGCTGCTTCAACAAAACAAACTGAAATATAGATTATTCTATCAGAGCACTCTGTACATTGTAAAGCCGACTTTAATTTTGCTCATCCTCACGAGCAAAACTGCAAGAAGGATTTAGATAAATGACACACTTTACCAAAGTTCTCAAATGCAACACTGATGAAAATAGAAAGTCTGGTTTATTCAAGGCCATTGGACTTGCATTTTCTTGAGACTGCTGAGTAAACGTTTTGGGCTCTTGAATCTTTAGTAACCCAGCAAATAACTTCCTCTGTTGTTACTCCTAAAAAGAAGCAGGTTCAGCTTAGTAATGAAAACGTTTCAAAATACCCATGAGAATCAGGAGACCTTTTTTCAGTTATGTGTAAAACTTAAAGAAAAAAACATTCAAGAACTTCAATGATTTTATTCTAAGTGATAGTAGGAAGACATTTATAGGATTTACTGGCCTTAATGTAGCATTACAAGTAATTTAAACCGTGCATAAGATCCACAATCCGAGGCATTTCTGTTCATTCATACTGAAAAATATATTTCAATGAAGCTTTGTTATTATGACCTACAGACAAATTTTAGACAAAATGACATAAAACTGGGGAACATATAAGTCACCCTCACACTTGTTTCCACACATCCAGTAAGAGCAGCCGCGCAGGTAAAGAGACGTCTTGTGTAAGTATTGTTTCTCTCGTATTAAGCCAACACTGCTCAAAGCTAATTGCAAAGACAATTGAACTAGAACTGTACGGAAATTCACAACTAAAAACAAAAATTCATAAATGGCAAAAAAAAATAATGGACACGTGTGGAAAAGTAATCATACAGCATCCTCAGAGAAAATCAGGGAATTTTCAGAGCTAAAGCAGAAGTAGAAGAAAGGGGAAAAAAACAATAAAACTTGCAATGAACTTAAGTGCAATTCTGTAAAACAGCCTCTTGGACAAAATCACTTGTAATGTAAATAGAAAAACAGCTGACTGTTAAAATGTTTTCCCTCATATGACCAAAGTGACAGAGCAATAAATGTTTGAAGTTGACTCAACAACAATTTGGAACTGAAAGATATTTCCCCATTGACAAATACTATCTGATCTAATTATGTCTGCTTCACAAACCGTATAAGTGTTTCAGTTAATGGTGTTTCAGAGTCTGTTATGGTTCATGTTGCTTAGGGACAGTGTGGTATCCCAGGTGAAAAATTAGGCAGAGATATAGTCAAGAATATGAGACAATGTGTCAATCGTGAGAAGAAACTGATTTATTTTTCTCAGTGGCTAAAAGATGGATGAAAGTAATATGCCCGATAAAATTCAAAAGGTTTACCAGAAATATGCCTGCTATTTCCAGTGTTCAATGTTCTTGGTTTAAGCACTGGGCTTCAATCTATTCACTTACAAATTTGTGAAAACATGTTTGATGTTAAGAAATGTTAAAAATGACTTTGTTTTGTAAAGTTTTGTAAACAGAAATACACAGTAAAATGTGTTCAGTTTAAGAGATAGATAGATGTGCTCACACAAAAATATTAAATGACAGAACACATACATTAATATCTCGCTTATATTTAAATAAAAGGACGTCCATCCATTCGGTCCTTCCTATAGTGGCTTAGCTGAATTCAGAGAGTGGGGGTCAGGGCCTATCAAAGATGTGTCCTTGGGTGATCCCAGGGTCCATCATTGTGACTGTGAAAGCATCACTCCCACATTCACTACTTGAGTGAATGTGGAGTCACGTTAATCTAACATGCATGTTTTTGGATCAATAAAGCCAAGAAACAATTCACACACACAGACATGCAGAACACAAAGTCCACACAAAAAGGCCCCAGCTGGGATTTGAAGAAGGAATCGTCTTCACTGTTGAGCAGCCCATTAAACAAATGGCATTACAAAACAGACAAACTACACCAGATAAATAGATTCAATATTTCAAATGAATTGACGTGTTATCCGATTTATAGTTACAGAAAAGCAAAGAGTCAAGATGAGCATTAATCCCTCTGATGTAAAAAAACAGTCCCACTCCTTTTTGGTTGCTTCTTTCTGAAATATAGACGTAGTCTGTCTCTGTTATTATCTGGAAAAGATACCAGTGAAAACAGGAACTGTGTCTTGTGACTAAATTCTTGTGAGAAAACAGAATCTGGAAAATAAGAGTAACCAGGAAGATCAAAACCTGCTTGAACTAATCGCCATTAGTTTGTTTTCATGAAGTTAGCAACAACAAAAAAAGTTTCTGAAAGGAAAAGGATCACCCTTTAGATCAATTTATCCCGTATTTGCATATTTTGAGCTCAATTTTCCTTGGTTTCATTAGCTTTTCAGCAACACATATGTCCAAAAATATTCTGACTTTTCACACCCTTTTATCTTTTTCCATCAAAATATGTGTTCACTTTCACGTGACTTTCAGTCATCGGTGAGTCCAGTAGGTGGCATCGTCTCCACAGAAAAAGCCACTTACAGACACCTCTCTTTGCTTATGTCTGACACGGTAAGAGAAATGTCAGCAATTCATGAGGCACTTTCACATATCCCTCTTCCATCCCAGAAGGATGGTGTGATGTCACTTCACACTTAGAAAAAGAGTAACTTTTTATCTTTCAGAAGTTGGATGTTAAGTACCACATGAAGGCAAAGAGCGGGAGACAATGGGTGATTTGCAGCTAAATCTTCCTCGTGGGCTTCACAGAACCTCTTTGTTGTCACAATGGCGAGCGTGTTCTGGTCATTGGGATGCTTTCATAAACGTTCTCAGGCGTGATGCTGCCGAGGTTTTGAGGCATTTTGTTGGACAGAACCCTCCTCCCTGTTTTGGAGAAATTCACTCATCAAACAGTTTTGTCCTTCGTGTCAGCAGAATTAGCATGAAACTAATCTAGATGGCAGATTAGTGGCTGCCTGTGATCCACTGCATACTTACAAATGATAAAGATGACAATTATGATCAGAGTGAAGAAGAAAATTGCTGCTATCCTGCCAAGATCCTCCACTCCCAGGGGGACTTGGAGTATGTCCTTCAAACAAAAAAAATTATGTAATAAGGAATATTATAACAGAGCACTGCCATTATTATACATTTTTTATATTTGTTTTTAATACCAATGTTGATGTTGCTTTGTCCCAATGTGTTTTTGACATCAATCATGTTTTGTGTTGTCTTTGAGATTTATTCCACCCCACCAGGATTTATTCTAAGTATGTTTTATGAAAATAAAAAGGAATCTACCATTTAAAAAAATATGTTTCCAGAAATGTTCACCGTGTCACATCACTCTTAGGATTACATATGCCATATAAGCTGTGCCTTATTATTGCTAATAATAGACCACATCAGAACTGTAATTTGGTGGTATCTTCTATGAAGCAAAAGGTTTTCCAGAGCTGATGTTGACTTCCGTTTTAGTTTGTCACAGTTTGAGTTAATAAACAAATGTGTAAAAGGACTTGTTTTTGCCACAGATGATATTTTTGAAACTGCTCCTTACCTCACTTGGTGCACTTCGAACCCTCTCCTTTATCATGTCACTCACTTCCCCAGTTTTAGGCTGAAATGTTGTAAGTATTTCTGTGAAGATTTTAAGTTATGAGTTGCAAATAAACTTTAAAAAAGAAAAAAAAAAGTTTACTTTTTTAACTTGCGGCAAAATTGAAGAGATGTCCCATCAATTAACATAAGCTTTCTTCAAATTATTCATAACTTTTGAACGTGATTGCTCACCACTTGTCTCCGTAAACGGGAGTGTGTAACTCTCTGTAACAGGTTGTTTAACTGGAGCTGGAAACCACAAAGGGCCAAGATTGGTTAATACTGAAAAGATGGCAGACTTCACGATTTGATGGTTTGAGCGTGAGTATTACCTTCATCCATTATCAGGTGTATGTTGACTTTGTGATCATTAAACCACCCAAGAATCTCAACCCTGCAGCCGTAATCACCAGCATCGCTCCGCTGAGCATTCAGGATGGTCAGGGAAAGATCTCCATCTTTCACCCGGCCCAACAGCTGGTGCCTAGGGGACTGCCTGAAATGCACAGCTCCTCTAGATGAGGAGAGGATGGTGTTGGCGCATTTGGAATTGGGCACCTTTCCATGTCCCCAACAGAAATTCAACACACCGTGCACTTGGGCATTGTACATGCAGGGCAGAGTGACATTGTGCCCAATGAGACCAGTGACTTCGGTAGCAGAGGAAGCTGTGAAGGGAAACAAGGACTCTGACCAAACAGGATGGTAAAAAAAATACTTTCAGAATTTGCATGCAAAGCCCAGAACTGCAAGTATAAATATTCACACTCGCTACTACCCTTTATCCAACAAGCACTCTACAAATAGCAGAAACCAAAAAAGCAAAAAAAATATTGACTTACCTTGGATCAGTATCAAGAGGAAATAATAACAAAGACCACACATTTGTGTAGGATATTGTATAACTATGTTCCGAAGAGAAGATACAATGACTTTCATGCCCACACACATACCAAGACAAGATTGTGCAGTATCATAGCGAAGCTTTAGCTTCCTTTTAAAAAATAAGGAAGGAAATCCAAGTATGTCTTGCCAAGGTTCGTACTTGAGGTCTAAAGCAGACATAAGATGTTTGATAACCCCACTACGTCTATAATCTGTCATACGTGGTGCTGGGTTCTAAATCTAGCCCATCAAAGTTTGGTTTTTCTCTGTAGTAATATAAATAAAAACGCAGTACTGCACAGAATTCAAATCATTCTGCATGGTAAGTTTTAAATAGCAAAAGAGGACGCACTCCAACAGGAAACAGGATGATTCAGTGGCGTTACATATGACGCTGTTCTTACGAAAGTTCTCATCCTCATTTTCTTTTCTCGTGTTTCACTAAGTGACAAAAACATGAGCAGAATTTCCATGATATCATTAAAGTTTGAGCCACAGGAGTTATTCTGGTTGCATACATCACTGGCATTTTAAGTTTGAATGTCAGCTGAATACCTGACAAAATATTTAGGTACAAGTGCTGCAGTCTCATTAAATGATTTTCCCAGCAGAATATTGCACATTAACTAGAGCAGCAGGGCTATTTGTTTTACCCGCAGGGGTTTCATGCTGTGTTGGTTTAAGTAAAAAAAAAACAGAAGCAGTCGAATGCCCATGTCGGTCCTTAAATTAATATGGAAATGTATCTTTAGAGGGAGGTTTTGTGCAGGGCACCATCCATGTACTGTATGTGCATGCTTAACTATGAACATTCAAATATGTCACACCTAATCATCAAAAGTGAATCATGTATATCAGTTTGAAGGTAAAGCATATTTCTTTTATGCATAACCATTCACGTGTGAGATCAAAGTTGGAAACTCTAAAGAGTGAGGAAATGTTCAGTGGGATGAGTCTTGAATGGAGATCTTTTGAAGATGGGAAATTTAAACCTTAATCGTCTATATTATACCACTTCAGAAACATAACCACATGATAAGAATAAGAAAGTAAATCCATACAGTCGCTGGCCTCAGACATATTGTGATCAGTGTGGCAAAATGCTACTGGTCACTGGTCACCAATACTGAAAGATGGCAATTTCACACTCTTTTCAGATATCTTATTGAGGCTGACTTTGGTTAAAACAGCTGTTAGATTAGTGAACTAATTGATAGTGAGCTATCATCAGGTCACTAATGCAGCTTGTCCATTGTTTCTCCAGAAAACAACAAACGTCTCCTTTTAAGAGCCTATGTTTTACATTTTTCCTCCAAGGATGTGTTCCCCCAGGTCCTCTGGCTTTCCCAGGTTTATGGTATGCAGTTTGAGCCACCGGCTACCACTGGTGTGTGTGTGTGTGCGCACTGTACAGTATGTGTGCATGTTAAAAGCTCATTGTTATGTGCATTACTAATGGAAAGGAAATGTCAGTGTGTGTGTGTGTGTGTGTGGGGACACGCAGTGTAAGGAAAATATTTTGTCTTTGCCAGTCTTGATCTGCCCTCGGCTCACCTCTGTCAGACCTGTCTCCACCTCTGCTTGTCAACTCTGTCAGCCCTGCTGCGCAGCGCTCCTGAGATCTCACTCCCCCCACTCTGATGTCCTGTGTTCTCACTTCTGGCTCCTTTGTATTGGATCTCTGATTTTGAGTTTCTCTGAGAGGAAACAAACATGATGAAACTGAAACCCTTACAGCCAAACTGGGGAAAAATCGCAACCATTTCACGTTCACTCTAAACTGAAAGGAGAAACATGAGTGTTGTGAAAAAAGTGAACTACCAGTGGGGATTTTCTAGTGCCCGTTTTTATTTTCATGATCTTGCAGTGCTACTACTCTCAGTGCTAAAAAAAAAAGCCATTTCTAATTTTATCTTTATTTTTAACCTATTCTCCATTTTGTAAGTAAAGACTCTACTTTGAAGGTGCATGTAAGATTTTTTTTTCTTCAACATTCATTAGAATATTTTTATTCCTCAAACTTTAAAAAGAGTGATCTTTGACAATAGGTGCCCTGAGTCTTGTGTGCTTGTAATCCCACCAAGTAACCTCTTGTCCGAACCAGTGTAGTTCATAGGTGCAACACTAAATTAAATGTATTGTTTTCCAGCTTTAATAGAAAAGTAGCCATGTTTACCAAGACATTATGTTAGAATTAAATCAACAGCCATCTTTAATGTGCTGTGAAGACAAAGGTTTAAAAATGGAAAACAGGTCTCAGGCCAAAGTGCAGGCACCCACTAATCTATGACTGGACTTTTGCTGATGTCTGATAAAACTCTGAACAAACAAAAGAGGAGAAGTGAGACTACCAAGGTCTGTCTGTGGCATTTTTAGAAGTTGCAAAGTTAGAAGCTGCTGCATCAGCTCCCTGTCTTCAAACTAAAACACACAAACAATGAAGTTTGAAGAATTGTGGCTACACAAATATGATTTTTTTTCTCCAACCTTGTCAGTGTGTGTTTTCCTGAAGTGATTGATCGCAGCAGGCATTTTAGAGGATGTGCCCGTTTGTAAATTTAGTGACACAGAGGGAAACATGCTGATCTGTTAAACAGCTTCATGGCCCATTGAATGACCTCCACTTCCTCTGTGTTGGTCAGAGGAGACGTAGGCCAGCTGCTGGAGGCAATATGGCATCCCTATATGATGTCATTTCCAAATATGTATAAATCCCGTAAGAAAGTGATTGGTAAATGAACACCACTTATAAGTAAGAACATGCTATATATGATAAAGTTCACAGAGTTAAATTCAAACAACCAATAGGGACATGCTATTTCAATGAATTTATGTGAGGCTCTGTAGAATTTAGAATTGACACATTTGTATTATATATTATGCTAATGTTTTGATGAAAGATGTAATGGTTAGGATTGTCTGCCTTTGTTTTGTCCTCACTTAAAAAAATCCATCCATCCATTATACTAACCACTTATTAAATGTAAAAGATCAGGGTCTGCCATTTAGCTAATTTTGTTGAGCATACACCCCATTGCCCCATTGCAGTGTCCTTGGTTTGAATATTTTCCTTTGCTTTAAAAAAGAAAAGGGGAGATTAGGGGGGTTAATAATATGGCCAACTTTTCAACAAATGACTCATTCACATATTATTCTTTTGTCAGTTTGATAAACAGCTCATTCAGACTAAGTGCTAAGTGCCAATGCATTTTTATCGTTGCTCTGCTCTCATAACAACACCATTTTATAACCACAATGTCATGTGACAAAATCACTATTCAAGTAACCCAAATTAGAGATAAAGTTAGCATGCGATGAAAATTGTTTCATTCAGTCCATAATGTTACGGCAGCAGACATACAGAGTCCAAAACAGTGGCCAGATAGTTAAATAATTACGTCTCCTAAAGTACTTTCTCCACTTCTGTAACCTATATTGCTAAGAACTGGACCCAAAGGCACATATTTGTACTTTTAGAGGCCCTGAAAGGTACAATTATGTTCTCAATTAGTAAATGGAAAAACTACAAGGGTACAGTAGCAGTAACTTTAAGGTACAAGTCTACCTAAAGGTGAAATTAGGTGCTTTTTTAATGGATTCATCTCCTTCGGATGTACAGTGGGCAAAGGACAGGACTGTGACTTCTGCCTTAAGAAGAGTAAGGTTCCAATGTTACAATCAGTTACTGCAGTGCATGTAAACATGCGATGATCAGCGTTGAATGAAAATTTTGGCTCGGCAGCTCTGAAGTAGTCGTTGCTGTTCACGAATGACAGCTTGTTTTTGCTCTCACTTGTCAATGCTATCAGTAGATAAGATGACCACTTATCATTTTCACTTGTATGTCTGTCTTTCAAGCCAGATTTACAGCATTGCAAGCATTTCAGTAACAAAGCCCTGACTGCAATAAATATATCCAGAGCAAAGGAGATTAAATTGTAACAATGTAACACAGTGTGCTTTGGTAGGAGGACAGGTTTGACAGATGGGTCGATAAAACTTTGGAATTCAACAAAGGGGACTTCTGTGTATGAAATATGATCTGAGTCTTGCCAAACTCAAGCTATGCGTTTATTAATGAAAACCGTGAGAGGGAAAAGATGCTCTAACAAACTGGAGTTAAATGCAAAGCTCACAGTTTTCCTGAAAATTGTTCTTCTCGCGAAAATTACAAAACCGACTTGTTCCCATATAACCTGAATGCAATGCTTCATCAGGACCCATCACCATCACACTTTGGGTTTAATGTTTAGTATGACATGGAATTCAATTCAGAAAAGACTCCTATGTGTTTTAAGATGCAGAATAAAAATGAGGAATGAGATGAAATTGGTTTAAATATACATGTGTTAATGTGAATTTGTTATAAATATTCAATTGTTTTGATGCTTAAAGCTAATCATTTCTTGACAGAAGGCCTGTATTTAACGTGGGACTTTAAGCATCTTCACTCAGTAAAAATTAATGTTTATTGCCGCTAAAAAATATTTTAAGAAAAGTACAGTTTATCTTTTCCCATGAACAACAAACCACCACGGTGTTATTGTCATGGTATTTTATGTATTATTGTATGTATTATGGTAATATAATATATATTTTTGTTGCACATGAGTGCTAAAGTGCTGAAGAGATGTTTTATAACTGAACAGAGGTGTGCCTAAAACCTAAGTTTTTGATGGTGACATACTGTGGATAAGATGTTTTGATGTGATGAGAAGAGCAGATCTGGAGTGGATTGGCCTCAGATGTAACTTTCTGAATAAGAAACCACCTACTGTGGTATGGAAATGACTTTTCAAAGTATCTCCATTGAAAATGTTCTCATTACGTGCAAGTACACTGAATCGTAACATCAAAGTCAAGGTGAGATTAAATCACTGTGTCTTGTCACTATTGAATTGAAACCAGAGATTATAGACAAGAGATTATGGAGAACATTGGATTTTAGACAGACATCCCGTACTTTGTGAATAAGGCATAATCTGTATTATTTAATCTTTTACTCAACTAAGAATTTTTCTTTTAAAGACATCATGAAATTTTGCATCAGTTCAAAGGAAAACGGACCATAAATAGTATTTGGGACGTAGAGTGGGTTGTATATTGATAATATTCTTCCCAGCATATATCTATTTCCCATTTTCTCAACAAAAGCCATTTCTAATCTCTCACTCTGTCAGGAAGTGTGTGTTTGTGTGTGTGTCTGTGTGTCTACAACATACATGATGGATTTACAACTGCTGGTGAACATGGAGATTGGCTCTTTCCCCACTTCTTACTTCCCACCCTTGTCCCTCTTGGGAGAGCAT